CTGATGGTCCAACTTTTTGTATGAGCTTGAAGACTGGTATTTTATGTAAATTTCTCCTTCCACTACAGACTACACTTCTACTGGGAATGGGCCTTGTAGTTGAACACATCCTAATGACCTTTCTTCCATGTGGGTCTGCACCCTATCTTCTGTTAACCCAGCTTATTGAACTGCCTGTTGAACTCCTCAAACTGCTTTGGTTTCTTGCCTATGTGAGTGTATGTGTGCCTTTAAATGGGCCCGCTTACTGAACTGCCTCTTGCACGCCTGACAACTGTAGAATTGTGAGTCCGCATGTGAGTCTTCAGACTACATTTTACAGTAAAGCTCCTGCTGCACTCCTCACACCTGTAGGGTTTATTACCTGTGTGAGTCCGCATGTGAATCTTAAGATTACTCAGTACAGTAAACTGCCTGCTGCACTCCTCACACTTGTAAGGTTTGTCCCCAGAGTGAGTTCGCATGTGAATCTTCAGATTACTCAGTGTAATGAACTGCTTGCTGCACTCCTCACACGTGTAGGGTTTCTCCCCGGTGTGAGTCCGCATGTGAGTCTTTAGGTGACAGCTTTGTTTGAACTGCTTGCTGCACTCCTCACACGTGTAGGGTTTCTCACCTGTGTGAGTGCGCATATGTGTCTTCAGGTGAACCATTTGTCTGAACTGCCTGCTGCACTCCTCACATCTGTAGGGTTTCTTCCCTGTGTGAGTCTGCATGTGAGTCTTCAGATTACACAGTGCACTGAACTGCTTGCTGCACGCCTCACACTTGTAGGGTTTGTCCCCTGTATGAGTCAGCATGTGAGACTTCAGACTACCCGGGTCTCTGAACTGCCTGTTGCACTTCTCACACCTGTAGGGTTTCTCACCTGTGTGAGTCCGTTTGTGTATCTTCAGGCTTTGTGAATGACTGAACTGCTTGTTGCACTCCTCACATTTGTAGGGTTTCTCCCCAGTGTGAGTCCGCATATGAGTCTTAAGGCCACTTAGCACAGTGAACTGCCTGCTGCACTCCTCACATTTGTAGGGTTTCTCCCCAGTGTGAGTCCGCATGTGACCCCTTAGATGAGCCAGCCTACGGAACTGTTTGTTGCACTCCTCACACTTGTAGGGCTTCTCCCCAGTGTGAATCCGCATGTGACGCTTCAGAGCGCCCAGGTTACTGAACTGCCTGCTGCACTCCTCGCACCTGTTGGATTTTGTCCTCCTAATGCTGCTGAATCCCCCTCCAGATCTTCTTTCAACATCCACAAACTCTTCAATATTTGTTGCCATGGTATTGATAGCTGCAACCCTGTATTAATATTAAAAAAAGACCTCTCAGAAAACAAATTCATAATTGTAGATATACTGTCAGACATATTTAGCCTCCTGAGTTTTATGTTTGTTGCTTTGATAATGGAAGCCAGATGTGAGGGTTCCTGCATAACCAACAAAGTACTGAATGCTCAAGTTCCTGCATTTCTAAAATAACCAAGGATGAAAATTGAAAACTCAAAGTCACCTTAAAGCTGTGGTATGGCATGTAAGGTTTTTTCTTGTCGTCATCAAATCTGTTTCTCATATCAGCTGCAAACTTTGTCATTTGCTGCCAAAGATGGTATAGTACAGTTCAATTCACTTACACGGCACAATAATCTTTGTAGACACCAGGGTATGACATAACAAAAAAAAATAGTTTGTCCTGAATAATAAATGCATTTCAATGATTATGCAAATAGAATCCTCATTTAGATAAATCATGATCATATTACCCACCCAAATAAAAACTGTGCTATAGACAGCTGATTTGCACAAGTTTTATATAACAATTAACAACAATGTTCACTCTCAACTTCAAAATGTCCAAGTATGAAATCCCCACCATTTTATTATTATAATACGCAATGTGGAGTTTAAATTATAGTGTTTCTTTTCTGGTAACAATTGATCAAACTTCCCAAACAAATTTTGCTCCTGACCTGTGGTGTAGCAGTTTCATCACTAGTAGAGGGCTCAGTAGCTACTCTACATTGCATAGTTTGTACATCTCTATTTGAATTTCGTCCAGAAAACGTTCTAACCAAAGCTACAACTAGTACACCAGTTAGTGAACCTCCCCTTCACATTTTCACACCAACAGCAACAGCTAGGCCATAACAGAAACCAGATGTGAGGGCGGGAAATTTTGGGTGCAAGGCGAAGAAGGGGTGTTCCGGTATACCGGACACTCAAACTTTTGTCTGGTCAACATTTTATACATCATCTACATTTCATTGTCTTTGCGATACTGATCAAGTTCAAGAGTTACAAATGTCATTTTACTCATGACATTCTTTGCTTTAGTTCGTCGGCAAATTTACAACAGAAGCGATGTGCTAGTCACCTCCAAGCGACCCTTTTCATCTGACATCTATCCTATCCTATTTGTTGGACAAAGCCCTCTATTTACGACTACCAGTACCACGTTTTCTTCTTCTGATATAGGATATAGAACCAAATCCATCTTTGAGCACATATTGGAAATGCACACGAGAAAGCAGCTGTAAAGCACATGTGACCAACATCCGACGAATGTGAGCGGATTACCACGTATACTAGAGACAACAACAACAACAATTTATAAATCATAACTAGGACAACCAGACGGTAAATGTTATATTGAATGGTGTTCAAAATACACAGTGTGGGACATAATCAAACCAAGGAGGTCTAAAACCTTGATCAAACACAGACTTACTCGAGAGGCTCACAACTTATGAGAAGTCACACGTAAAAATCACCATGCATGGCTACGGGACTTCTTCTTTCTCATCAAAATTCTTGTTAAATTCGAATGCTATAACTCTTTCTACATACCTGAGATTTATCTTGGGTACAGCAGCTAACACGGGGGATTTGAAGTCAAGTTGGAAGATATTTAGACGTCCCAAAGCCAAAACCTCGCTCCTTTCCTCCGAGTTCTCAGCGTCAAACCGCACAGCTCGTCTCGTGCCGCGGCCTGGAGACGAATGAGGTCTCATCGAATCAGCTCCGCGGAGCTGCATACTGCAGTGATGATGACGCGTCGCGGGGCGGCACTGTGAGATAACCTACTTGTGTGTCGCCACCGCCTTCATGACAAAGCTCGCATCCGGAAGAGCTTGGCTGGCCACCTAGGCTATGGTCTTTCGTATACGTGTGTTCTTTCACATCCCTTTAATTTTGCAAACGAAGGTATCTTTTGTTTGCCGTACTCTTTTTGTTTTGTATCTATGCTGGTAAGATGCCACCGTAAGAGACGTGCGTCACTGCATTGGGGTCGGATATAATTAAGTCAAACCTGATTTGAAATTATGGACTTTACTCGAAATATTTGAATATAAAACATGAGATGAAAGCAGAACAATCATTGTATGATGTACAAAAATATTAGGCTCCAATGACAATTATAATATATAATTCGTGCAAACCACGGTGTATTATTATTACGTATGAGAAAATGCTGTAATTTCTCCATGTCATAGTGAACCACCAAGCAAGTTGATGTTAATTCTGAAAATTATGACGCAATTGCCATAAAAGCAAAGCCAAATCAATTCCAAAATCAAATGTATCAACCATGTAATCTTTACATTTTGAAGTTAACACTGTTATTCATCACACATTCGTACATGTATGTCACTCCAGACCCAATCACACAGTCACAAAATCAGACTTGGTCAGAATGGTCAAATCACAACTATTTATGGGTTCACCACACCACGAAGTGGTGGTGAACCCATATTGCTTTTTCTGATGTTTCTTCTCCTCCTTCTCCTCCTTCTTCTCCTGCCATTTTTTAAATGGATTCAGCTTCTTCATTTTAGGGCCCGAGGTCCTGAAATTTGGTATGGAGGTACAGTGGGCAAATACCCCTAGGCGTTTTTTAAATTTTTGTGATACAGGCTTTTAGAATGGTTTTATTTGAGTTTTTTGGCTGTGTTATAGCAAATGTATTACTGTGTTAGTGTGCCGTGTTTACCACGTCTGGGCATGAGTCATCACAATGGAATGCAGGGCATCAACCAATAGGCATGCAGCTTTCCTCTATACTTCTTGCTGATTGGCTGTTGGGATTTAACTTGATTAACACCTGCACAGAGCATTTCCACCTGCACAGAGCATTTCTTGCTGATTGGCTGTTGGGATTTAACTTGATTAACACCTGCACAGAGCATTTCCATACTGATAGTATGTCTTTATTCAAGTGTTTTGGTAGGTATTTCAAGCTTTTCTGCTCCAGCATTGGAATGCGGGGCATATGAACGTTTTTTTATTTATTTTGAAAATCAACAGTTTGCATTATGCAATTAAAAATCCTAACCAATAAAGTAGGGAATAGCTATCCAACTGTTGTTTTAGTTGTATGTTACTTCATATTATATTTATATCAATGTAAATCATTGTTTTCCCTTGTGTTTCTCATTCTTTCCCTGCCATGTCGTAAAATGTGGTGAACCCATCGCTGTATTTGCTCCAAAGCAAATATTGGCCTTTCTAGTTTATTGTTAACTTATCCAAGTACAGAACCTACTATTGTTCTCCATTTAATACGAACTGAAAAGTAGTTTGCTGTCTTCAATAAACACAACACATGCATCTGCAATGCATGGTATATCGGTTTTTCACATTTCGCCAGACAGTTAATATATTCAAAATCCTTCAGGCTATAGGTAATGACAAATGGATATTTGCCAGCGGTACCCAATTGCAAGACGAAATCGTCTCAAAGCCGTTGACACTTTGTTCCTCTCCCGTCTCTACAAGACACACAGAATATTGAAAATCCCATTAATCGAAAAAGAGATATATTGTTTGACCCTATCCTGTCTTGTCGATATCCATATTCCTTTTCTTTTATCTTCCAACATCATCATCGGTTTTCTCGGCAATATATCTGTTATGAGAGACATATTATGACCACTTAATTTATATAATAAACACGTACACATATGTACATATATAGCGTTACGTACAATTTCTCTAAGATTTTCCAATCTCCTACTTCACCTGCAGTAAAGAATGTGTAGAAATGATAAACAATGTACATCATTATAACTTGATTATGAATATAACGTAATGATTACTATAGCACACAATAACATCGATCCTTACCAATTGGTTTTTAGCTCCTTACACTTCGCATGTTGTACGTAACTAATCAATTACAACATTGTGAAACTATGAGCATTACTGTCACTAAAACTGCTAACATCGACAATGTTCATTTCCTGTTCTCTGTAAATAAAATCATAAAGTAATAGTACTAGTGGCTCTAATGGCATATTATTACCGTATATACATGTTGTTTAATTAGGGCCCTTACCTTATACCTCCCTTGCATTGCCTGCGTGCTAATTTTTTACACATATTACAACTCTAGAACCGTACAGGTGCTTTGGACACTACCCCCACCCCCACCCCTCTTCTCTCCCAATATTTTACGCGTGTACAGTAGTTACGGCAGATTCCTTCTCTTCACGTATGGTTGGTTTATAATGTTTTATTCTGCTAAAGCCCGCTGACCACTTCGTTTTACTAGAGTCAGTAGGGTTTTGTCACTCGTATCCTGACTGTTCATTCACAATTAACAGTTCAACCAATGAGAGGGTGGCAATTAGCGATTCAGCCAATGGGAAAGCCACCACATGCCCGTACTAACCAATAAGAGAATGGCAATTAGCGATTCAGCTAATGAGAAAGTCGCCACATGCCTGTGCAGTACCCGTTCAATAGCTACGTTTGACGGTGGTGGGCGAGGCTGTTTGGTAGGTTGGGAGCAGCAGGCGCTAGACGACGCAGTGTATTAACCTGTTAATTGCTTGAGATCTCCCGTGACCAGTAGGTATTTAGTTGTGTAGGATTAAGTGTTAGTACTTCGGTTTGTGTTGTCTCACGGTAGACATTACTAAGTATGGGAGGGACGCCCGCCGACGTGTTCCACTCACCTCCCATGGCCAGTAGGTGTTTGGTAGGTTGGGAGCAGCAAGCTGTGAGTTAACACGCTCATTCTTTGAGATCTCCCGATGGGCCAGTAGGTGTTTGGTTGTGTGGGCTTCAGGGGATACTTCAGTTTGTGTTGTCTCACAGTATATGTAGGTATTGCTGAGAGTGGGAAGGGACGCCCGTCGTTGTGTGATATCGATACAGCTACTTTCACCTGTAATTTCCCATGGCCAGTAGGTGTTAGGTGGCACACATGGTGTGGTGTTTAAGGATACTTCAGTCTGTGTTGTCTCGGGGTAGGTGGGGAGTGACGCCCGCCGCTTTGGACCTCGGTTGCCGCTACATGAAGTTTCTTCCCATGGCCAGTACGTGTTGGGTAAGGGGAAGACCAGAGGCACTGGGCGCGATCTGTTCAACTGCCCATTGGAGATCTCCCACGGCCAGTAGGTGTTTGGCGGTGATGTCCATGGCGCCACGTCGTTTAGAACGGTCTGATAATCCCTGTTCTCCGTCCATAGAGACGCTGGTGGCGCCTCGTACCCGGCAGTTGTCCTCGCTGCTCTGTGATGAATTACTGATGACGTCCCTTTTGCCTGTCCTACATTCATGTATGTTCTACCCATGGTTCGACCTTCGTAGATGGGGACAGAAGAAGTTCTTCTTGCTCCGCAAGCTCTAGTGACTTGGTGACGGTAGGGATTTTCCGCATTTCTATGAAAGGTAACACGTTGGACCTCAGGATTTTCATAAATGGCTGTACGTTGTGCGGACCTGTGATAATGTACAGTTTTCGGTTTGCTGCCGTGGTAGGTGCTGCAACCTTCTCCGTTCCCCACGAGCGTCATATCTGCGGCAGCAGCATAAAATCGCAATGGCCCATCGTCGTCTTCGTCTTCCGAAGTGTTGCAAGACGTCGGCTCGACGTCCGGGATTTCCCAGTTCGTGTGTGGGAGGACAGGAAGAGGTCGAGTAGCCAAGACAGCGTCATCAGAGATCTCGTAGTACGTGGGCTCGATAGAATGCAGGGCGACAGGCAGGGATCTGCAAGAGGCTTTGCGGTACAGAACGGCGTGGCTGGGGCGGGAGATGGTGGGGAGAGAGGCCGACCTCGCCCGCCCAGACACAGCACCACGCCGCCTGATGGCTCGAATATGCTGCTTGTTTAACATTGACCTTCTTTTCAAGAGAAACACAACGATTACCACAACCAGACCTCCTAATATTGGAAGAGTCAAGATGATGATGAGCGTTCGGGTTGGACGAACTGGTTTTCCTTGGGCAGCCTTTGTGTACATAGTGCTAGCCTGCGGACAAGAGGTCGATGCTACTACTAGAGACTCGTTCTTTGCTGCAGGATTCGGATGGAATATCGATCCACTGTGAAAATCTGTGTCGGTGTCGTTTTGCCTCTGCTGTAACTGATGGACACTGAACACCGTCTGACTAACCTTGTCTTTGGTAACTACAACACAGGTGATATTCTTGACGCTTGTGTCGGTGATGTTGTTGAGGTGGTTTCTCCCCGTGGCTGTGCTACCCGTTGTGGTGTTTGTTGTCGGGCTCAATACAATGGCAGTTAGTGTTTCTGTGTTTTCAGCTCTCAGGAAAGCCAGGCGGAGACTCAGACCGCCAAGTAAAGATACAGATAAGTCGCTGCTATGCTCCCATACTTTTCTGCACTGGTCATTTGTATCATTGGAGATCATATCTGAGAGTGAGCGTTTTATGATGGCTACAAAAGGTGCCTGAGTTGTGATGCTTTTAGGCAAGGGATTTTCGATATCCCGGATATCGATGCAGGTGTTTTTGTGAATTTTTTGAAAGATCCACCGAAAGGGTTGTTCTATTGAATCAAAGGACCACCCCAAAGTTTGTTCTTTCACATCGCTCAGAGGGTCATGAGTGATACAAAGGAGACCGCCGGGTAGCCTAACAGATACGTCCTGTCTTCTAAACATAAAGGGGTACCCTTGGTCGCGAATTCGGTTGCTGACAGCCAGATGCCAGGACCAGTCTCCGCCCAGAGAAGTTAGCTTATTGCCACCTAGATGCAGATCTATCAGCTTCGGTAGGTGCCGAAATGCTCGCAGTGGAATGACCTCAATCCTGTTATCTTTCAAATAAAGGACTGTCAAGCTATTCAGACCAAGAAACCAATCAGGCTTTACAACCCGCAGCAGGTTATATCGTAAATTCAAGAAAAAAAGAAATTTCATGCTGATGAAGCTCCCTGGATCCATCTGTTCTATTTCATTATTGGACAAGGTCAGCACATTGACAAAATGAAGGGCCGAGAAGTAGCTGTGTGTAATATATGACAGCCCGTTAAAGTCTAAGGCTAACGTCCTCAGTTGACCAAGACCAGCCATTGTATTCTCTTCAATATCTGTGATTTCACATTCCAATAGGGCCAGAGTCGCAACTTTTGCAGGGTGTGTAAATAGTCTTGCCGATAGAAGTCTGATAGGGTATCTCTTCACTGCCACTGTGTCTAACTTTGCCGAGTCTGTGACCTTTGGACTGCATGGCAATGTTAGAGAAGAGGTGGAGACAGTTCCATTTAGATCCGTGCATACTATCCAGGTCTGTATGATAACCGGGTAAGCCCCAGACCCCGCGAGCTCGGTTGAAACACCAAAAGCCTCATTCCAGCCTACTTCCCTACACTGGCGGGGGCAGGAACTGTACACGTCTACAGCCGTGCAAGCAGATAAGAAGGTGAGGAAGAACAACATAGCGGATAGTCTTTTCCAAGAATGAGTTTCCCGACAGAATGCCATTAGATGTCGTGTCTCAGTAGCTCTATACTGGTGAAATGCTGAGGCTTGACACTGACCTTGCCTCGTTCTTCTGTTCGTCTTGACAGGACGATGTGAAATTTGCGCCGTGTTGGTCAGGTAGGACGATCCGATTGTCAGCTCAGCCTGTATACGTAATACGCAGGCCTGCAGTGTAGCAGTGGGTACAAATGAGTTGTTCCGTCATAATTACCATCGCCATAATAACCACTCTCCATGTAGAGGATTTAGTTTTAGCTTATTTCTGGCGTGTTTTAGGCTTTTTTATTGGACTTTCTTTTTGCTCTGGTATTTTTTTTACGCCAACCCAACCTCTGCCGGCAGTCGCAAGCACCAATGCACTATAAAAGCGTAAAATGATACCACTTCGAAAAAAAGAAAGCCCGATAAAAAACCTAAAACATGCCAAAATAAGCAAAAATCCAAACCTCTGCTTAGAGAGTACATGATAACCGTTGCGTTAGATAGGAAGTTATGACCATGTATAGTAAGCTCCGTTTGCTCTTACACTTACAACTGTCCTAAGAAGTGAGAAAAAGCTGAACCTGTACATACCAGAATACTGTAGATGTAAAGATACCAGACTTCACTCATCAACATCATTATGGCTTCACCACAAAGTGGTGAAGACATATTGTGTTCCCTCATGTTTCTTCTTCTCCTTCTCCTCCTTCTCCTCCTGCCATTTCTTTAAATGGATTCATCTCTGCCATTTTCTGGCCAAATAACACGAAATTTGGCATGAAGGTAGAGTGGGCAAATACCCTGACGCGTTTTTTTCATTTTTTTGAAAAATTGTTTTATTTGGGTTTTTTGGCCATTTTCAGGCAAAAAATATACATTTTGAGATCTGGTTCCCAGATACTAAAACCAAATGACCTGAAATTTGGTATGGGGATACCTTGGACATATGTCTGCAAAAAGTCATTCAAGCTTTTGACATACACCACTTTATAATTGTGTAAAATAGGGCTTTTTTGCTATTTTCGGACCAAAAATGTACATTTTTGGCTCCTGTGCCCTAATATTAAATCCGAATGACCTGAAATTTGGTATGGGGATACCTTGGACACATGTCCAAAGAATGTCATTCTCGATTTTGACATACACCACTTTAAAGTTATGTAAAATAGGGCTTTTTGGCTATTTCCGGCATTGGAAGGTTCCATTGCTGCATGGGGGTGTAGACTATTGGCAGCCATCGTAGGATAGATCCATTTTCGGTATGGGGGATGTGGTGAAGCCATCTGCTGCATTTGCTCTCAAGCAAATGTCGGCCTTTCTAGTTGTTATTGTACATCTTCATGACTTTAGTTTGTGATAGCATAAATGCGCAATGAATGTCTTTCATCCATTCCTTTATTCATCCAATAAAAACGATAACTTAAGGAATAAAGTCATCGTGACAATGATAACTATATTGTGAAAATAGAATTTTTTGTATTGTAAGGTAGGAAAACACCAAGTCACGGAGGCATTCTTTCACAACAGGGCAGATCTAATCAACAGAAACGCTGGACTCTGGAACTCATGTCATGACATGGGACGTGAAAACGTCACTGAACAAGGAAAATCTCACCAAAACGTCTTCCATTTCCCAACTAGTTTCAACAGAACAGAACAGAACAGAACAGAGCAATGCGCAGTTCTGTACTGATTGTATCCACAGCTTCGGACACCATGCTACATGAAGAACATTCAAACACTAACTCTGCACTAACCTGCCTGAAGTTGTTTGGTGTGCCGCCGTCCGTTTTTCTTGCACTCGTTGTATGTCAGTCAACACAAGCTTGATAGTTTTCTAGTCTTTGATAAATCTACCTCTTTGATGAATCAGTAGAGGACTTGCTTGAAAACGATTCCGTGCTCAACGCGCAGTTAGCAGCCACCGTTTACTCTTTTTATAATATTGTTTATGCAAATTGGCCAGGACGGCAAGTTTTCTGATTGGCTAGACCTCTCAGCTTCTGACCAATCATCATACAGGATCGGTCTGGCTAGGTAACTTGTGACTGTTGTTTCGTGCATGGCTGGTCGTACCTGAGTGCTTCCTGTTCCGACCCTCGGGCAAAAGGCCGGACACGAAAGGGTTTTCCGGCTACAGCAGACTGGAAATTACAGCTGAATGAGTCTGTTGTTTTACAGACTAATCATTAACTCCGGTTTGATAACAGAAATGGCATCAAGGCTTCCTCTGTTTGTTAGTTCATTTGCGCTTAAAATCGGGGTTTGAACGAAATATTAGCAAACTTTTCAGGTGGAAAAAATAAAGATGTACCAACAAGTCACCGGCCATTAATATCACAAAAACTGGGACTAGTGCGTCCTTTATGACAACGTTGTGCAGACAAATTACATCAATAATGTAACTGGGACGCCAGACGAACTCGCAGTAGCTAGTAAGTTAATTTGTCTATGCAGTTTCCAAGTAAGTTTACTTGTCTATACAGCTTTTTTTTTGGAGCGGGAAGGGAGCATAGAAGCTGCTAGATCCTTAGGTAGTCTGCGATTTACCACCAGATTTAGAAAGGCCGGTACTAATAATAATTAGAAAGACCAGATGTCAGTAGCCTGACTGTCAGCATAGGTACGTCTATGCATAGTATGACCCTACTCCGTCTTGTGGAGAATGGTAACCAAAGACTAAATAAACACTATTTTATCTGATTGGCAAACATCGAAGAAAGAAAAAGAACATACAACCAACTACCTCACCGAAATGATTATCTTTGTTAATACACACTATCACTTGTGTCAAGCATTTAGCATTTGTACACGTATTTGGAAATGAAATAGTGGTCAGATTTTCAAACACGTGTCTGTGGCTAAGATTCAACGTTTAATTTCTTTACTTGTTTAGCGTCCATTGTTCTCCATCAGATCTGGTAATTAGAAAATACCGAAATGTTAGAAAAATGCTAATCGTAACACCAGACCAGATCTGTAACAATATTGGAATACTGTATGGTCAACCCATATAATAATACATTATATCCATATGTATGTATTACGTAAATTATCTTATCACGCAATGCACCACCAATTTTAATAACCTTTATAGCCAATGTCATTACATACGTTGATTAGTGTTACTTTCCGACGATGCATACGTCTTGCAAGAATCTCCCGATGAATAGAACCTTCCTTTATGAGTTTTTAGGAAAAGCAACATCTTTACTTCAGTCCGACCATTTCCTCGCTCAGCTCCCAGAGTTTCTTGGCAACTGCTTCATCCTTGGCTTCTGGAATGGGTTCTTTCGGAGCGCAGTCCCTGAAATATATACAGCGAAGAAGTAAAGAAGTGGTTAGCTCTCAATAGTAGAGTGGTTTCATTTATGTCATATCCAAACATCATTGGGCATTTGTGAACAATGATGTTCCATATACATCCATGTCATTTTTTTAGCACAGTAAAAGAGATATAATATCACAGTAGTTCGCCCTGAAAATAGTATTAGGATCTTGCTAAAACTTGTACTTACGTGAAATACAGCCCAGAGGAGGTCTCCAGACCTTCTGATACTGCACAGTGAATGGTAGTCTGTGCGCCCTGCCGAGGAGTCTTCCCAAACAGAACCAACCCAGCGAAGAACACAGGTTTGAGGAGGTAGAACAGCCAGCCGTACGAGGCGTCCAGATGACGCTGTAGTTCCGTGTGAATGCCGCCCGGGTGGAGCGAGTAGGTCGTCACTCCTTTACCTGCTCAGCCCAAGAATAAGCAAATTCAATAATAATTCGATATAGAAATAGAAACTGGTAACATTTGCAACGCAAATTCATAATGTTTACCTTCACATGGTCTTGCCTAAAAGCACTGCTCTGTTCTTCTTACATATTCTTTCAAACAGATTTATATACATGTATATAGTGAGCAGCCCCTCCAACTCTGCCCTGCTACATAATTGAATACAATACCACACCATGGCTGTGTGCTATACAGCAGCAGTTACCATGGGGACAGCCGTCTAGTCCAGGTCATTGACCTTATTTGTTTGGAGGACAAGAAGACGAAACAGAGTAGAGCAAAAAGAAGTATTTGTTTCCTTCTATGGCAGAGTGCTCGACTCGGAACCAAGTGGTCCTGGGATCGAGTCCTGACATGCCACCGATGTTGTGCCCTTGTTGGCAAAGGCATTTTATACGACTTTCGTCATTTAAGTGAAAATGAGTATTGTATCCTGTATTTGTTTCAGAATCTATGTGTGGGACACAACACCAGCAACAGCCGAGCTGCCTGTGCCCCACGTGTACTGCACTGTTGCAATTTCAATAAATCAAATCAAATCATGGAGTAACTGTTTGCGGCATAAAACGTAAGACATAAGAACGCTCTATACGCTCCCGCATTGACCTTAACTAACAGGGAAGAAGAAAAACAGTTTACGTATAAAGAAATACAAGAGTTCTCATACCTTCGCCAAATGATGTTAACCCTTGCGGTTGAAGAATTATACAATTTTAATAATTGATTTTGCAAATAAGATCCTCATTTGCATGGGTTATATCAGTTGATCATATTCTCCACCCAATGACAGTCTTATCTTAACAAAAAGGCTATTATAGCACTTCCTCATAAATTATGCAAATGAGGTCATGATTTGAATAAATTATGTTTATTGATGTTCGCCTTCACTTAACTTCCAAATGTGGCAAGTATGAAATTCCCAGCAGTTACAACTATAAAATTATAAAGATTTTCCATTAATTATGCAAATTAGGTCTTCATTTACATAATCTATATCTTCAGATTTTTTTTTTCATTCTCAATTACATTTAACAAGTGTTTCATAGTCCTATTATCGAACAATGCAGAGTCTTAGAATTTCCTCATTAATTATGCAAATTAGCTCCTGATTTGCATAATTATCATTTGATTATGTCAAGCATCACTTCAGCTACCTACATACCAAAAATCATGACAATCCGTCACCCGGTTCCTTAGTTATCATCCTTCGAAAAATTTTCAACAAATGCTCCTGCAGTTCCAGAACAAGCCGCTAGGGGGCCCAAACTTATGTCACATCTTCCCTACCCCAAGACCTATCTACCACCTAAAA